ATTATACGATAAATATATTAACGATCTTAAGTAAACAAATTTTGATGATTTATTTAATATTAAAATTATTCAGATTATATATATATATGATATAAGAGATTGCAATGGTATAAATTGTACAACTTTGCTATTTCTTTGAAAAGTTTTGCTAAATATTTTTTATACTTAAAGTTAATAGATTTTAATGACACTTATATTAAATTAAAGTACACTCTTTTGTCTACGCATAGATAATCATATCAAAGTATAAATTTAGCATATAAAGTTCAGAAAATTTCAGATAATGCAATGCTGTAAATTGTACAACTTTGCTATTTCTTTGAAAAGTTTTGCTAAATATTTTTTATACTAAAAGTGAATAGATTTTAATGACACTTATATTAAATTAAAGTACACTCTTTTGTCTACGCGTAGAATACTTTGTCAAGTTATAAATTGATCTGCAAAGGTTCAAAAAATGTCATAGAATGCAATGCTGTAAATTCTGCATCTTTGTAATTTCTTTGAAAAGTTTTAGTAAATATTTTTTATACTAAAAGTGAATAGATTTTAATGAAATTTATATTAAATTAAAGTACACCTTTTTTCCTACGCGTAGAATACCTTATCGAGTTATAAATTGATTTGCAAAGGTTCAGGCTATATTTTCTAGACATTAGTTAGACAAATATTCATGAGATTTCCACGAAAATCTGTATCTTTTGTTCCCTATCGTATCGGAAGATACACAGGTTTACAACGAAATGTTTTTTACCCGTATGGGTTGTTTTGTGGTAGAGGGGTTGCGTCTATAGAATATTAAAGTATTATGTCTGATGCCTAGGAAAAACTGTAAGAATTTTTCAATTTCTGACTTCGTCTGAAGGCTCTTTGCATTGATAGTATTGTCGAGGAATTACTAGCAATGACTGATTTCTATCTTTGACGGTAACATATATAATAAATCGCTCCTAATAATAGCAATAAAAAAAAAAGCTATTATAACAGGACAAAGTCCTAATAAAATGAGGAAGAAGAAGAAGAAGAAAAAGAAGATTATATATAAAAAGAAAATCATTCAAACAAATTTCTAAATTATTTCGTTGATTTACAATTAATATACAATACATCATTAGTTTGCTCCTACAAAAAAAATGTTTTAATAACATTGTTAAAAAATGATTGCAAAAAGACAATTGTGTATTTTCTCGGGAGTCCGTTCGTTATCTTCGTTTGGTAAATCCTTCGAATGGAAGGAAGGAACCTGATGTAAAAGAAGAATAAGAAAGAGAAAGATATTTCATGTACGTCGGACACGTTTCACGCCTCGCTCGACGGCGCTCGTTCATGAACGAACCTCGCGCGCACAGGTTTCCTTCTTTTTCTTCTTATTTTTCTTTCTTTTTTTGTTTTTTTTTTTTTTTTTTTTTTAACACGGTGAGAGAGCATCCTTTTTCCACGGCGTGACACTAGCGATATATCTTTCCTCGTGGCCGTCGTCCGCGCGTGGTACACGGATGACATATTGCTCGAGTAGATCTCTTCTCTTTCTTACCTTATCTTTCAATTCGTTCTTATTATCTTTAAATGTTGTCTTATTCTATAATTATTCATATATTTCTTTCACGATTAATCATATTTTATAGGAAATAACGTTTTTGTTATAATGTATTTTGTTTTTTTTTTTTTTTCAAACAATTTTTTTTCATAAAAGTTTGTCACAATTGTTTTGAAATTATTTTTCGATAAGAATCTTATCAGAAATAGGAAGAAATTTTTGTTTTATTTATTGATGTGGGAATTATTTTATTTATATATTTGATAATATTATTTATAATTAATCGATTTGGTATATGAAATTAAATTTCAATATTATTTTGACGTATTAATATTGTAACAAATATTTATACGATTATAAATAATTTCATGAATTAATTAACAAAATCAAGCACAGAGATACGAGCATAAACAGAGCATATTTCTATAAATGTAATAAGATCTTAACACGTTTTAATCTTTACTTAGAATATTCTAAAGATTCTAAAGATTAGTTATTACTTTTTCCCACGTGACGTGGGAGTTAGAAAAGCGATTATTTTTTGCATGAGCTAATAAGCAGCTTACTATAAAGACGGAAGGAATATTCGAAGAAATCCTTTTTTTTTTTTTTTTCTTCTTTTTATTTTTTGTATTATTTCTTTGATTCTTTCTTTTTCCTTTTTTTTTTTTTTTTTTTTACCGGTTTAAAGTAATAACGTTAGTCCTTCGCGCCTAATGTTATCTAATTATTCTTAGAAGGTTTTTAACAAATAATTCCTTTTCAAATGTCTCCTGTCGCGTGTTTGTCCCTTGACATTCCACGTAGAAGAGCACCACGGTCTTTTACCTTCTCGACTCTCAAAGCCTTTCTAATCACCCGCCGTTTCATGTACAAGGTGTGTTTTAAGATCTTTCCAACTCTTCTTTATTCTCTGACATCCACCATTATTGACACGCTTCTTTAACGCTACTTGGAAATCATTTACTGTAACATATATCCTCCTTTTTTTCTTTTTTTCTTTTTTCTTCCTTTCGAAAAGTCAACAACTCATTTCTATTACACCAACAAAATACTTCTTTTTTTTATCCTTTCACAAAATTCTCTCTGATAACAAAAATACACTGAGATAGAGGAAAGAAATAAAATAAACAAGAATTGTCATGAATCCTAATTACGAGTGATTTTTTTTGTTTTTTTAAATAAAAATAATCAAACACGGAAGTATCGTAATCAACATTTCTTTTGATACGATATAATTTGTATGAAAAGAAAATCAGAACAAAAAATAACTAAATACAGTTAAGAAACGATTCAAATGTGTTCATACGTTGTTAATATAATCTTCATCTAATATTCTAACTCGCCTATTTTTTTTATATTTATTTTATAAAAAAACTGTTGAATAAAAACATTCCCTATAAGAATACGATCATTTTTAATAAATTTCGCGAACCTTTTGATTTTCTTTCTATCCAAAAACAATCAAGCGCATTTCAAGCACAATCTTAAAGACAAAGTATGAATTTTATTATTAAGCGGGGTGAAGCGGAGGGGTAGGGGGGAGGGGGTTAAAAAAGGAGACAGATTGGAGACGTTCGAAAGTTTAAAAAGTGTAAGACATAAAGTTAAACGACGAGTGTAGTTTTCTTTACCTTTTTCAAATGGTACTCGCAATAGTTGCGTAGACAGAGAGAACTATAAGGATTGCAATAATTAGCGATACAGAGTTAATGGGGTGGGAGTAAACGGGTAGGAACGGGGGGCGGGAGGAAACGAAATTCTTGGAAGAGTAAGTCAGTGGAGGTCCTAAATGGGCGTTTGGTTTCGTTAACAAGGCCGAACCAGGTAAAATTGCTACGGCGGGCGTCTTTTTCAATCGTTTTCAACGATGCTCCGCGTGTTCGTTTCTGACTCACGTTTACCAAAAACAGAATCGCCCGTGTAAAGCCAATTACATGCTGCCGTTCTTTCGTGGCATTAGCGAGAAACGTGAAACGTACGTTTCCTTTCCTTTTCTTTCCTTTTTTCTTTTTTTTTTTTTTTTTTTTTTTCCCTTCTTTTTTTTTTTTTTCCCTCTTTTTTTTTTTTTTAAGAAATCTCACAACGACGACAACGACGACACTCGACACTCGACACTCTTTAATTTATAATCATCGACAAGCAACGTTTTATATACAATTACGTNACCAAAAACAGAATCGCCCGTGTAAAGCCAATTACATGCTGCCGTTCTTTCGTGGCATTAGCGAGAAACGTGAAACGTACGTTTCCTTTCCTTTTTTTTCCTTTTTTTTTTTTTTTTTTTTTTTTTTTATTCCCTTCTTCTTTTTTTCTTTCCCTCTTTTTCTTGTTTATAAGAAATCTCACAACGACGACAACGACGACACTCGACACTCGACACTCTTTAATTTATAATCATCGACAAGCAACGTTTTATATACAATTACGTAAACACTTCTTTCCTATCTAATATTCTCACGGACGTTTAAAAATATATACACACGTATGTACTTATTTATTTACAGGTTGTCTCAAAATATACGGTCATAAGTTTTGTTAAAGGGGTGGGTGGGTAGGTGGTTTAGGTACAACGAAAATAAGACAGAATTTATATACGATCGTCATCTATATGACCTAGTTTCTCAATTATACTTCTTTTTGTTCTTTCGGTAATTGATATAAATTTTTACTGAACCCCCCATTCGTTTCAACTATTTATAAGTATGGTTTCTCTTATCTCAAGTGGACAAATAAATGGAATTGGTCGTTAATTAATCAGTGTCAGCACGATTACTTTTCGTTTAAATCCCATTGAAGAATTTTTATTCGTTCGCGAACGTATTAAGTTTTATTTTAGTTTACGATGCACCGTTGACGAGAAACACTACGTCAATCTTATTTTAAGATAATCGTCGGCTAATTCAAACATCGCATTTGGTGATATTTTTGAATCAACGAGAAACAAATTTGTGATCAAATTTTTTCGAAAATTCGCGTCAAAGTTGAAAGTTTCTTTTTTTATGAAAGTCGTGTAACAACAACTGTGAAATACGGAAACGAGATTGTATCTGTTATACGATTGCACGTGTACCCTTTTGATTTATTTTTTTTTTTGTTTTATTTTAACCTTACCGAAATCATCCCAATTTAATTATTATTCGTTCGTGTATTTTGAAACATCCCGTATTATAAACGTTTATCACGATTATAAACGCATAATCAAACATACACAAGATATAATAATACTTTAATAATAATTTTCTAGATTTTATCTCTTGCGTTTAATCTCTCCTCTCATGCTTATATAACATTTAAATGCAACATTTTTCGAGAATTCAAATGAAAATCATTTTGTTCTAATGCGATTATAAAAACGTCATCGTAGAAATATATTTTATATAACGTCCATAGTAATTACATGAACATTATGTAAATAAGTAATTGAATTTTGTATTAAAGATATGTTTATATTTGATTTCAGGTACGAGATTTAGTCGAGAGATGCACGTGTCCAACACAATTCCCAATGATTCGTGTATCAGAAGGAAAATATCGTATCGGTGACACTAAAGTTCTCATTTTTGTTCGTATTCTACGCAGTCACGTGATGGTTCGCGTTGGTGGGGGTTGGGACACCCTCAGTCATTATTTGGACAAGCATGATCCCTGTCGATGCAGAACTTGTAAGTTTCAACCACTTATTTCAAAACTTCATTGTCAATTTTCCAATCATTTTTTTGTTTATTTTAGTTTAAATTAAATTGCACTCGTATATGTGTGTGTGTTACGTCAACATAATAAATAATTTTGTTTTTTTTTGTTTTTTATTATTTCAGCACATCGTTCGATGATTTCCGCAAAGTTGATACAAAAGGCAGGAGGCTCGTTCGATCTTGGAAGCGCGCAGGTGCATTACGAAAGGTAAAATCCGAATTAATTTCTAGCCTTCTCATAATAATAGTCAACCAAATCTAATTATCCACCATTAAAGTCGAATTACGAGTCTCTCTCTCTCTCTCTCTTTCTCATACTAATAAATTCAATTATTATTTGTATATTTGTCCAATTTGGATTGTTATTTTTCTCGGAAAAGAAATAACATTATTTTTCTATATAAATGTGTGTCTACTTATTATGTCGTCGATAATGTCATGCTCACCTTGATGGATTTAATAGTATTCTTGGAATGGGATCAAGAGACAACGAGATGATAATCGGCGCCGATTATCGATTCCGTTTTCAAAAGGAGACCTTTCATTAGTTACGTTATATGGAGAGATCGATTTTTCCTTTAATCCTATCGTCGTTTAGTCATACACGCACAAACAACGTTTAGTCATACACTCACAAACGCATTAAACTCACTCACTCACGTGAACACAAATGCATACAAATATATTTATATGCATAAGCATATTCTGAATTTCTTCGAAAGAACTTGCAAACGATCGAAAGAAAATTATAATAAATCTACAAGTCCGGTATATACATTTTGATCGCGCAAACTTCTTTCTGCATGATAAAATCGTAAATTCCGTTGAATAATACAACAAACTTTACACTATCTCAATCTTACCGACGTTGTTTCTTTGAACAATACTAAGTTATGTTCAAAAGTTGAGACGAATGTATAATCATATATATACAAGTAAAAGAAAATAATTTATTAAATAAATAAAAGGCAAAAAAGAGAGAAAAATTCAGAGATAAGATCCCCCCCTCGTATTGTCAGAAAAGAAGGGAGAACTTGCGTGGGAGTTAGAAAAAAAAAACAAACACACGTACAGACGCGCGTGTGCATTGAGATAGTTAAACGTCAACGAAGATTCGATATTCTTCTCTAGGATCTATGTTACAACATAGACAACACACACATACACACATAGAGATATCAAACAATAGCTCGGTATTTATTCATACGAGTAATCCGTCAGAAGAGTGTAGTACGCGTCGGTATTACGAACCAGTTGCTGAAGATAAATCCTTTCGTTCGTATATCAAAGAGAGTAAGAGAGAGAGAGAGAGAGAGATAAATAAAAGAAAAAAAATAAAGTTTGAAGAGGTTCCAACGTTGGTCCACGTTGATTTATACGTCGACCCTTCTCATTCTCTTTTCTCCCCATTCTCAGATCACCTCCAAGGACTCGAAGAAGTTCCGCGTCGAGCGTTGGTTCTTGCGCTGGCACGACGTTGCAGAATCAGCAATCACCAGCAACTGCAACTGCAACTGCAACTGCAACCGCAGCAGGAACTCTCGGACAGTTGCACGCGCCCAGAAGCGTTTCCAACAATCGTTCGAGATCGCCAACACCTCAGCAAACCAACAAGCATCAACATTACCTCCACCACCATCACCATCACCAGCAACAACAACAACAACATCACCATCAACAGCTAGGAGAGGATCAACAGAAAAAGATTAATCGTTCGAGGAGTCCAACCCCTCAGAGAAAATTCTTTAACAATCCGAGTCATCATCAACAAGTAACGACTACTATTACTACTCCTGACTCTGGGAAACAAAGATCGAGGTCACCCACGCCCAAAGTAACCTTGGGATCTAGAAGTCCAACTCCCAAGGTAGGTTCCCATCAACAACACGTTAAAATACCCTACAGTAATGTCGTCGACTCGTCACCGAAAAAAATCTTCAACGATGATTATCGTAATTCTATTAAAAATCATACGAAACAACAACATTCATCGGTTTGTTGATTTTATTTATCGATAAATGAACTGTTTAATTTTGAAAGTTGTTTAAGTCTATTTGCAGTCTATATAAATATATACATTATTTTAATTAAATTAGACTAAAATAAAAGTAATGTGTATATAATCAAATTACATATCGATAAATTAATAGAAACAATTTCAAACTTGATATAATTAATGAATATTTTGAAATGAAGCAATATGCAAATCTTGAATTTTCTCAAAACAATAGAAAATGGACTTACACTACTTTAAAAATAAACGATCCAAATTAATTCCTATACGATTTTTCATGATAATAAAATGAATAATACGGATTTAACGTTGTTTACGCATTTACGACGGGTCTTCTTTCTTTCTTTCTCTCGTTTTCGATCATTTTTTTCTTTTTCTTCTTCTTCTTCTTCTTCTTCTTCCTCGGACTATATTATTCAAAGAGAGATAACATTTCTCAGACTTTATACTCCGTGTTGTACGCGCTCGTCGTATTCCCTCTAATAGTACGTGGTAAACATATAAATAGAAACTCCTCTCTTCGCGTGGAATGCAAACAGTAGACGAATTTATTCCGCGTCGTAATGGGGGAAATTGCGAAGCGGTCTAAAGACATACAAAAAAAAACAAAAGTAGCGAAAGCAAACTTTTGAAAAAAAAAAAAAARAAAAAAAAAACAGGAGTTATGTATTTTCACCGAGGTAAAGGAAAAACCTTTATGCGAAATGTTTACTGATGAGAGGAGGGAAGAGAAAGTGGGGCTTTGAAATTTGTTCTTGATTAAAAATAAAAAAGAAAATAAAACAAATAATTAAAACGAGAAGAAGAAAAAGATGAGGGGGGGTGGTAGGGGGAAAAAATTGGCACGGTGGATTTGCCGAAAGAAAAAAAGAGAAGTTCCGGAATTTACGGAATGAAATGAAAGAAAGAAATTTCGTCGTTTAATCCGTCGATATATTATAAAAAAAAAAAAAAGAAAAAGAAAAAAAAACTCAGAAAAATAAGGTTAACTTAAATTCGCGGGTTTCTTCTTCTTTTATTCCGCAGGATCCGAAGAGAGAGTTGCACCAAGAGATCAAAGCAAAAGTACCGCTCTCGGAGGAGTTCGCAAAGAGATACGTGGTTGATGGTGGTGTAGCACGAAGGGCTGTCGAAAGGGAAGACACACCGAAATACGAGGCAACGATTTACAATTACAAGTGCCGAGAGAATTCGAGCAGTCGGAGCCCAACTCCGAGTCCTCCCGCAATTAAAGAAGAACCAGCATTGGAAAGTTTTGCAAAGGACAATACCAACAACCCGACGGTCACCAACATCAACACCAGCAACAATAATAGCACCACCACCACCACCTCGACGAATGTACATTACGCTAAATCTCTTCACGGTGATGGTGAACATTCGGACAATTGCAGTGAAGTATCAGACGAAGGTTATCGAAGTCTTGGTGCCGTTCAACCACCACCAACAACAACCAATGGAAATTCTGCTCCAAATGCCCAATCATCATCATCATCATCATCATCACCGACGGTTGCCGATTCTCAAAGTGAGTTTATCTAAATTCTTTTTTTATTCTTTTCTATTTTTTTTTTTTTTTTATATTGTATCTTTCTTTTTCTTCTTCTTTGCAAATTGATTAACGCGAGACGTCAGAATCGTTTGGTTACATTTTGCTGGACTAAAAGACAATCCAAAAAAATATGCCGCCCCCGCAATCCACTCCGTGCAACACTTATGTCATAGTTGTTTAGCATTCGTTCGGTACTGAATGAATATAAACGGGCCTATCGTGAGGTAAATATGTCGCCCACGTTATCGGCCGATTTTGGCTTCGTAACGATCCTTCGTTTTTATTATGTGGATTATTATGTTTTTGTTTATTTTATTTTTCTCACTCGTTCTTTTGTAATTTTCTCTCGTTCGTCGTTTTTCGGTGGGTGGGTTGGGTTAGTTGGTTAGTGCACGGATTAGAAAACGGTAGTAGGCAGATTTAAAGACACGCTCGAGATTTGCGAATTGATAATCGTGACGTTGAAACCGTTACTCTCTGTGTATAATGTATTTTTATTATTATTATTATTATTATTATTATTTTATTTTTCAAACTTGAAAAATATGTACGTAATAATGTGGGCGAACGAAAGAAATATAAAATAGAGATCATCTCGATACGATCTAGTATTTCGATCTCGAATATTAAACATCGTTACATATAAAGTAGATGAGATTATGAAAGTATTATTAATTTAATAATCATTTGAAAAATAATATTTTCAAACGAAACACTTTCTAAACTTTCAAATTATATTTTGAATAAAAAAAAAGAAAAAATATCTCCTTATGTACTCGCATAATTATTTTATCTCGCTCAGTGTGTTATCGTTAAATATAGACGTATTCAATTAAAAAATAAATATGAAAAAAAAAAGAAAAATATACACGACAATTCTCAGATAACTTTTGCTTTAAATTTAAAACGATCACCAGCAGCTAGTGTACGTACGAACGATCACGATGATGATACAAAAGGTGGGAATACTTTGGTAATACTAATGCGTAGTATTTATACTGTGTAAGAACAAGAAAAGAAGAGAATCAAGCAAGCAAGACAAGTAAGTTAGCGGCTTGTTACAACATCGGAATAAATTAAATCGCAGCTTCGGATTCGAGATCGGTAAACGGGATAGAAACGCGTGACAAATAGAAAGTGAAGAGACGAGCAAGAGAGGATAAGAAAGAGGAGGAGGAGGAAGGGGGAAGGGGTAAAGGGGGAGATACCGTTTACAGATAGAGATTATCGCATCACGATGCGACCAAACTACGCGCTTACGTAATTTTTGAAACGTGTTACGAAGATCGACCTACTCAAAATCCTTCCACAAAATGTCAATTTAAAATTATTCGATTGTAACCTTTTTTTCTTTTTTTTTTTTTTTCTTATTTCGTTCCAAATAAAATTCTTTGTGAAATCGTAACACTAACGTAAGTAAATTTTGGTTAAGTAAAATCTAGGTCGGTGCTACTCGTAAAATACGAAATAAATCGAACGTACGAATTGGACTTTTTTTCATAATCATTTGTTTAAAAGAGTCATTGAATTTAATTTAATGAAATAAGTAGAACTGATAGGTAAAACAATCGAGTATTCTTTGTCTTTTGAAATTAGGTTTGATGTACGTAACACACGGCAGGTATATGTTTGAAGATTTCGAATGCATTCGATCGATTAAAATCAAACGTTCGCTTTCTTTTCGAATGTGTTTCTTTTTATTTTCCCTTTTCTTCTCGTTATATTTTACTCGTCGTTTATATTTCGTAGTAATGTCATCATTCGCATAACAAGGAAGATTAATTTAGGGTTACATAAATTTGTACGACGACGAATACCGGATTCTTGAAATGACCATCTCATTTAGGATTGGTTTGTAAATATGAGAAAAAAAGAAAAAAGAAAAAAGAAAAGAAAAAGGAAATTACACATTTCGAAGAAGTTAATAAATTTGCTTACGTTACGAGCACCCTGTAGAAATGATTAATATTCAAAGTACACACGAGACCGCTTGCAGAGGTTGGCCTGACATTTAGTCGGGGCGACGGATTATATGAAGGATCGTTCGAATCTGCGTGGGCGATTTCCAACAACCTGTCCTCGGAACAATCGCCAACGGTCGATCCTCGATAACGCTTATAAACTCGCCTTGAATACACCGAAGTTACATTCGCGAGAAGGGTACTCGACTCGCCCAGTTGACTAAAGAGAAAAAAAACAAAAAAGAATTACATGTATATGTACGTACGTGGAAATAACTTTCGAGATCTGATCTGATCCGATCTGTGTAACTCGAGAAAGAGAGAGAGAGAAATGAGATTTTGTCGATCATTATTTTTCCTTTCCGATAATTGATTTACAAACGTGCAATCGATATAGTCTGATATATTTATTACATTAAAAACAATTTGCGTTATACGTACACAAGAGAGTTTGATTGAGAAACAAAAGAGTGTATAAGAGCAGGTGAAAAGAACGTTCGATTTTGTTTTATGTTACAGAGCAACCCATTAAAACGGAACACGAGGAGAGATCATGCGTAGAGACGGAAAGTATCGAAACGGGATTACGAAAGATAAGGATAGGACCGGGTAGTCCATTGAGAGCATCACCAGCGAGAAGCGTCGCATCTTCTTCGGGTGATCGTACACCGAGAGCTGGTTCGGTTATACGTGAGAATAGTAACGTATCACGAACATCTTCGGGTAGTAGAACACCACGAGAAAGTAATTCAAGTCCCGAAGGAAGTCCTTTAAAACGTACTACGACTATTCGTAATAGTTTACGAAAGCCACCGACTGGTAGTCTGAGTAAAGCTTCGGCATTACCGAAGTCCAGTCAGCTTAGCACCAGCGGCAGCAACACGTGGAACGGTCGACAGGCTAGACAAAGGCCTAGTTTGCAATCCGACACCTTTTTGAATCCACAAGGATCGGCAACCTGCGCGACCACGCCGAGTTTTTCTAGGAAAAGTACAGTTAGACAAAGTTTACCGAGGCCAGCTAGCAACGGTGGGCCCCAATACGACAGGAACGGTCGTAGAATCAAACAATCGACAACCGGAGGAGGGGGATCCTCTTCCCTTCAATCATCGCCAACCAAGGTAGCCAACCCATTGCTCGAACAGATTCTTCAAAAAGTTGGACACTTGAGGGATGATCGAGAGGTAGTACAAAAACTCCAAGATCTTCTAAGGGATTATCAAGTTAACACTCACAGTGAGAACGATCCAACCCTGGAATTCACCAGAGCCTGGATTGACGGAAACGGTACCGTCGTTCTTCCTCAGGACAGTCAAATAGTTGCCAGTCCAAGAAAAGATCCCAAAGCAGCTTCGGAAAGGGGTAGCTTTTCCAGAATACCAGCACCCATTTACAAAAGGCCCATGTCTGTCGCTTCCGACAGCGTCTGATAATGGTCCTTGATTCTTCGATCTATAGATCATCGATCATCGATTGGAAAATCATTTCCAAACTCGATTAGGTGATCCATTTTTTTGTTCTCCTTTTCTCTTATTTTACTCTAACTTTCAACGAGATGAATTAACGTTATTATATGCGTTCGTAATTGTAAGTTAAAGAATTTTTATTGAACGGTAGAGAGAAGAAATTTAACGAGGAGGTTTACATTTAATTTTTTCCTTGTTACATTTTTTCTCATGATATTTCTCGATGACGTTGATGATAACGACGATGATGATTAATGATTGACGCTGTGGTGCTTCTGACGATGGTGCTGTAAGTTTGACGTCTCCTTATCGAACGAACTTACGAAAGAAAGAAAGAGAGAGAATGGCAAATTAAAAAGAAAAGAAAAAAAAAATTACTAATAAATGAATAAACAATTGCGTTGATCTTACGTTTTTCGATAGCTTCCCGATCGTACTCGCGTCTTATGGGACGAATTCTTTTCTTTTTTTTCAACGAAACGAGCTAATCCTTCATCCGATGATTATCGATTACAACAAAAAAACTATAAAAAAACACCTCAAGTTAACTCCTCGTAATTATTTTCATTCGATAAGTCCGATTAAAAAAAAAAAAAAAAACAATCGGGCTGTTAAAATTGAATAACAGGTAGGTGTTAAGGTAACAAAAAAAAAAAAAAAAGGTCAACGTAAATCAAATCAAACGTATAATAAAATGAAAAAAAATAAGGAGGTGAAAAGTAGGCTCGTTTCGTCGAAAAAGGAAAGAAGTCGTCGTCTCTTGTTGCATGGGTTTCCATGGGTCGGTCGGCGGCTCGACCCTCCAAGGTCGATCGAAAACGAGGTGTCGCGCGTCACGGTGCTTTTTTTAGATTAGTGTAAGCACGATCGACGACGAATTCAGCTCGATTCTTGGTACTCTTCCCTCTCCCCTCCCCTGCCCCCCCCCATAACTTCTTCTACTTACCGATTAAACCTTCTCTTTGTCGAACTTTGCGACCACCACCACCACCATCACCCAATCAACCCACGCTTTCGATTACACCTCAAATTACTTTCTCTCTCATCTTACCCTCCCCACCCTCGCCTCCTCTTCCTCTTTTATTTAGCAAAATATTTCAACGTATAACCAGAGAAAAAAATAGACACCATTGCTCGTCGTCGATCGTAGCTCATTGCTCGCGAAAAAATCCCTTTTGCGCGCGCGTGTTTCTCTTATTGAAATTATTTATTTTATATAGTCTATTGGTTGTATT